AAAATCATATCAACCTATTTTTCCCCAGCAAGACTATAATTCAATCCCCAACAAGGCTATAACTCAATTCTCGAGTTTTCAAGCACCAATCTGTATTGGTATCTCAAAGACAATGGGAAATGGTCCCTGATAAGCCTAATATTTGGAACTCTGCATATAGTAATCATCATTGTATATTACATTGCATCATCAAATGCGTATCATATCCATTGAAGTGGATCATTATGCTATACACTTCAAAATGCATACAAAGCATAAGCCGTATTTGGTACCTTGCACAAAAGCCCAAATTAATCCTCAAAATAGTAATACATTCCCACAGGGAATTCCATCCTCACAATTCCCGGTTGACATCCACCATTACACTACAAACCAAAATAGCCACAGTGCTAGTACATTGTACTCTCAACTCTTAATATCCTTCGTCAATCTTTTCTTGGGTCACAAATCGTCCATAGATCTTACCCTTTAGTTGATCTTACCCTACACGATAGATTCTCCGTTGTAGTCGATTTTACCCCGTTGTCTTTACCTTTCCTTTTGGATCACGAATTAGGCATGATAGATTCTCTGTTGTCATCATCTTTAACCATTGTCTTTACCTTTCATTTTGGGTCGCAAATCCTACACGATAGATTCTCCGCTGTCGTCGATTCTACCCATTGTCTTTACCTTTATTTTTGGGTCGCGAATCCTACACGATAGATTTATCGTTGTCATTGATTTTACTTGTTGTCTTTACCTTTATTTTTGGGTCGCGAATCCTACATGATAGATTCTCCGCTGTCATTGATTTTACCAGTTGTCTTTACCTTTCTTTTTTGGATGTGAATCCTACATGATAGATTCTCCACTGTCGTCGATTTTACCCATTATCTCTACCATTCTTTTTGGGTCGCGAGTCCTACACGATAGATTCTCCACAATCGTCGGTTTTACCCGTTGTCTTTAACTTTCTTTTTGGGTCACAAATCCTACACTATAGATTCTCCACTATCGTTGATTTTACCCATTATCTCTACCTTTCTTTTTGGGTCACTATTCCTACACGATAGATTCTCCGTTGTTGTTAATTTTACCCGTTGTCTTTACCTTTCTTTTTGGGTTGTGAATCCTGCATGATAGATTTTCCACTGTCGTCGATTTTACCCTTTGTTTTTACCTTTCTTTTTGGGTCACGAATCCTACACAATAGAGTATCCACTATCGTCGATTTTACCCATTATCTCTACCTTTCTTTTTGGGTCGCTAATCCTTCGCGATAGATTCGTCGTTGTTGTCGATTTTACCCATTGTCTTTACCTTTATTTTTAGGTCGTGAATCCTACATGATAGATTCTCTATTGTTGTCAAGTTTACCTATTGTCTATACCTTTCTTTTTGGGTCGCGAATCCTACACAAAATATTCTCCACTGTCGTCGATTTTACCCATTATCTCTACAATTCTTTTTGGGTCACGATTCCTACACGATAGATTCTTTGTTGTCGTTGATTTTACCCGTTTTCTTTACCTTTCTTTTTGGGTCGTGAATCCTACACGGTAGATTCTCCACTATCGTCGATCTTACCAATTATCTCTACCTTTCCTTTTGGGTCACGAATCCTGCATGATAGATTCTCTGTTGTCGTCGATTTTACCCATTTTCTTTACCTTTCTTTTTGGGTCACAAATCCTACATGATAGATTATCCGTTTTCTTCTATTTTGCCCGTTGTCTTTACCTTTCTTTTTTAGGCGCGAATCCTACACGATAGATTCTCTATAGTCGTCGATCTTACCTGTTGTCTTTACCTTTCTTTTCGGGTCGCGAATTTGGCACGATAGATTCTCCACTGTCGTCGATACTATCCATTGTCTTTACCTTTCTTTTTGGGTCGCGAATCATGCACAATAGATTCTCCACTGTCGTCGATTTTACCCATTGTCTTTACCTTTATTTTTGAGTTGTGAATCCTACACAATAGATTATTCGGTGTCGTTGATTTTACCCATTGTCTTTACCTTTATTTTTGGGTCGCGAATCCTACATGATAGATTCTCTGTTGTCGTTGATTTTACCCATTGTCTTTACCTTTCTTTTTGGGTTGTGAATCCTACACGATAGATTCTCCACTGTCGTCGATTTTACCCATTATCTCTACCATTCTTTTTGGGTCGTGAATCCTACATGATAGATTCTCTGCTTTCGTCGATTTTACTTGTTGTGTTTACCTTTCTTTCCGGGTCACGAATACTACACGATAGATTATCCACTATCGTCGATTTTACCCATTATCTCTACCATTCTTTTTTTTTCGTGATTCCTACAAGATAGATTCTCCGTTGTCGTCGATTTTACCCATTATCTTTACCTTTATTTTTGGGTCGCGAATCCTACACGATAGATTCTCCACTATCGTCTATCTTACCCATTATCTCTACCTTTATTATTGGGTCATGATTCCTGCATGATAGATTCTCCGTTGTCGTCGATTTTACCCGTTATCTTTACCTTTCTTTTTGGGTCGTGAATCCTACATGATAGATTCTCTGTTGTCATCGATTTTACCCGTTGTCTTTACATTTATTTTTTGGTCGCAAATCCCACACGATAGATTCTCTATTATCGTCGATTTTACCCGTTGTCTTTAACTTTATTTTTGGGTCGTTAATCCGGCACGATAGATTCTCCGCTGTCATCGATTTTACCCATTATCTTTATCTTTCTTTCTGGGTCGCGAATCCTGCACGATAGATTCTCCACTGTCGTCGATTTTACCCATTGTCTTTACCTTTATTCTTGGGTCGTGAATCCTACATGATATATTCTTCGATGTCATTGATTTTTCCGGTTGTCTTTACCTATATTTTTGGGTCGTGAATCCTACACGATAGATTCTCTGTTATCATTGATTTTACCTGTTGTCTTTACATTTCTTTTTGGCTCATGAATCCTACACGATAGATTCTCCACTGTCTTCGATTTTACCCATTATCTCTACCACTCTTTTTAGGTCACGAATCATACACGATAGATTCTCCACTGTCATTGATTTTACGTGTTGTCTTTACCTTTCTTTTTGGGTCGCGAATCCTACACGATAAATTCTCCACTATCATCGATTTTACTCATTATCTCTACCTTTCTTTTTTGGTCACGAATCCTGCACGATAGATTCCCGGCTGTCGTCGATTTAACCCATTATCTTTATCTTTCTTTTTGGGTCACGAATCCTACATGATAGATTCTCCATTATCGTCGATTTTACCCGTTGTCTTTACCTTTCTTTTTGGGTTGTGAATCCTACACAATAGATTATCCATTATCTTCGATTTTACCCATTATCTTTACCTTTCTTTTTGGGTCGTGAATCCTACACGATAGATCCTTCGCTATTGTCGATTTTACCCATTGTCTTTATCTTTCTTTTTGGGTCGTGAATTCTATACGATAGATTCTCTGCTGTCATTGATTTTACCTGTTGTCTTTACCTTTCTTTTTGGGTCTTGAATCCTACATGATAGATTCTCTACTTTCTTTGATTCTACCCGTTGTCTTTACCTTTCTTTTTGGGTCACGAATCCTACACGATAGATTCTCTATTGTCATCGATTTTACCCATTGTCTTTACCTTTCTATTTGGGTCACGAATCCTACACGAAAGATTCTCTGTTTTCATTGATTTTACCCATTGTCTTTAAGTTATCGTGATGTCATTGATCCTATTTTTAGTCACCACATCATCATTAATCATATATTTTCAATCACTATAACACCCACTTCCCTATGAACCTTGTATTGGCACCATTACCCCGTTACAAGCTATCACTACTAAACCATATTTATCCATCATAACCAGTTCAACAGAAACCGAATTTTATATCCCTAGTAAACATCACAAATAATAATACTTACACCATCTCTCTAGGACAAATTTCAGGTCTTGGTATTTAATCTTCTTCTACCTTAAATGATCGAAAGTATGACGCCAATCTCACGTTCAGGTTTAAGATGACTAAATAGGAGCAACTATCATATCTCAAATATTTCCTACATTTTCACATTTATGTGGCTTAAGCTTTGCATTTCATTTGCATCATTTTTATTAGGTCATTCGCATATCATCCATTCATTCAATAAGGCATGAGATCAAGAAGAAGTGTTTGGCATGAATTAGGGTTTTACTTTGGTTTGGGCTTCTTTATCAAACAAAGGGTTTTGTCCCTCTATCATTAGCAGACCATTTCTTCATAAATTGGATTTGAGTTCACTTAAGATCTTCCATCAACTACTTGCACTATAAGTTATTCAATTGGAATTCTTATCAAGGGATGGACTGGAGAAAAGAAGATTTTTCTATGGTTCATGGGTCATGATACACTTTCTTATGCTCGCGTTCATCAATTCGATTAGGGCTTCAACAAAGATCATCACTTAATAAGCATCATGGATAAGGTTTTCTTGTGATAAGAGCCTTCTTTTAGGTGCCTGAGTTATAAAACATTGGTCAAGATAAGAGACATGAATTCATGGATACTTTCTCCAATGAACATTGGTTCTAGATACAAGGCTTTGTGAATAATTGCTTATGGTTCACGACAGGTTAAACTCAAGTTTTGCAATTAATGTTCATTTGAGTCGGGCGTGGCATACGAGTTTGTTTTGAATACAAGTTTCTATGAAACCGTGAGATGATATACAAATGTTGAATTCAAATATTGGAAAGCTAATTGGAAAATAAAGGAAACATGTAATTCTTGAATTTTGAAAGTCTCATCATTCCATTCAAGCTTGTTACAAAAGAGTTCATCCATTGACTTTATTCAAGTATCAAGAAATTCCATTCATATTACAAGGATTTCAAGTCATTTTTCATTCATATTATAAAAAATATTCAAGGCATCATGTTGAAACTTGGAACAAAAGGAAAAGATGAGAGAAACATGTTCAATTTACAAGGTTTATCCAAAGTTTTTCAAATGAAACATCTATGATTCAATTCAATTCAATAATGTCCAATCATTCTTTTTGTTCTACATGAGATATTGGGAATAACATTACAAAGTTCTAAATCCCTAAAAGTAATACAATGATATGCCATAAATATCCATAAAATGTCAACTTGGTTCCTTGCCAATTGTTGTCCATTCTGCTGTTGTACACAAGACCTACCATTGCTACCACATACAGCCAAAACCAGTCCAAATGCCTTGCTTTCCAAAAAGTTTTATGCTGTCCACAACAATCTAAGACTAGCCATGCATCAACCTGCTGCAAACATGTCCAAAACCTAACACAAATTCAGCCAAACATAACCTGTATCCAAAAGCTATAAATCAGGCTATCAAAAGTGTTCAAACCTCACAAACTTTTCCCCTCAAAACCCCTTATTTTCACTATAAAACAGACATAAGAACACACAAGAAAAAGGCAGACACAATCTCATAAAGAAATTCTATCAAAACTCCTCCCTCTCACTCTTCTTCAACTTTAATTTTGCAATAACATAACATCAACAACATCATAACCAAACCACTCACAAAATTCCTCACCGTTTCTTACTCCACCCATTCATCATTCAACCTTCAATACCATGCTCATGCACCTGCAAAACAAAATTGAAACCTCACTGCTGCTAAACCGCAAATTCTCAAAACCCCAAACCTCACACCATACTCCCTCTAATTGTAGACCCCCATCTGCAACAACAACAAACCAACAGGATTCTCAAAGGTGGAAAATCGAAGAAGGAGAACAAATGACGAATGCAAGGTTTTAAGCTAAGAAGAAATCAGAGTCATACTTGACATTTTCTCCCTTGCCAGATTTGAATTTCGTCGGACTAGCTCCGACCGTGTAAGTTCTTTTTCTTTCCTTCAATTTATGATATCAATATCATTTCTTGTATGCGTCATATTATTGTTGTGTTGCATCGTGAAACTGGAATTTGGGGTAGTGTTGTTATTGTTGTTTTGTTACGTTTGAAAAAATATAGAGAAAAAGATCAGAAACAAATATCAAAACCTCTCTTAAAGAAACCACTTCAACATTGCAAAATCTCTTCCAAATCCTCCAATATAACTCTCCATCTATTCAACCAATCTCCGCAGCAAACCACAAATAATCTCTATTACAAACCACCATTCAACACAATCTTATCAACAACACATTCAACCAACAACCAACAAATCAATAACTAAGAAAACATTTGCTACACACATTCATCTTCATGTATCTCTGCAACATCAAATGCAACAACAACGTATCAATTCCTCACCTCTTTCTACTCAACTCTCAAAATGCACAGAAAAACGTAGAAGTAGAAGAATAACGAACAAGAGTTTGAAAGGTCTTTCCTGGGTTCTCATTATCAAAGATGTCAGAGGCTCGAGCGTCTGATGTGGAGAGGTCGATGAGGATGACAAAGTCGCATTGAAACACTAAACGTTGAAGATGAGTCACGATCGGAAGTTTCGAAGGTTGAATCGAAATTGAGTCCATGACGGAAGCATCAGATTGAAGTCTGAACAAAGAGTTATGGCATCATTTCAGAAAAGAGATAAGATATGCGAGAGGCGCTAAGCCTCATTAGCTTCTAGGGTTTTTTTAACCCATCAGCTTTTAGGGGTTGGACTTGGGTGTGACCCATTCCATTTTAAGCCCAATCATTTATTTTTTATTTTTTTGTTCAAACTGTTTTTTATCATGGGACTACAGTTTCTCTTAAGCCCACTCTGAAAATTCAACATACACCCCCATACTCTGCTTTCACTCTTTTGTCTAACTTGTTTAGTTTAAATTTTCTTAACTCTATTGTTTTACTAATTAGTTAATTTTTATTCTTAGCTTTATGTCTTCTTAATTAGCCTATTTTTAAGATCAATTATGTAGCCTTGTGATTTTAATTTAATATTTTTTTATTTTGTTAATCATTTTAGTTATTTTTGCTTAGTCACTTTTCTCTACTTGATAAAAATCACACAAATATTAGCTTCATTGTTTTGTTTGAGTGCTTGAGTAATTTTTTTCCATGTTCCTTTAGGAGATTCCACGAAGCGATCATTTTCATTTTGATCGTTTTGTGTTGAAAAGGAATTTAGAATCAATCATTTGCATGATAACATTAGAGTAGACTTTCACATTAGACTTTTCTGTTGCATTGCATATTTCCTAATTAAAACTAAAACTTCTTTCCATTATAAAAAAAAATTCAAAAACACTTAACCATTATTCAAACCCATTTCACACACAACAAATTCAAAATAAAAAAAGGGCATGTTATCTCTGTTCTACCGCGATACAGGTCGTGCCTATTGCTAGAATGCATGTGCTAACATCACCACCAAAAAAACACCAACAAACCAACATTTTCTAGAAGAACTACGATATTCTGATTCCTTCACGGGATACATAGGCAAAAGGTTGCGAGACCCTCATGAACGCACTAGTAAAAACCATTTCATTTCCCTTAGCAAGTATAGTTTTAGATAGACGCACCCTTAGAAACAAACAATTAAAATGGATCATGTTTAGTACAACGGATGTGAGAGGTGTTAATACCTTACCCTCGCATAATCAACTTCTGTACCCTCTCTTTTGGTCGCAAGACCATCTTGTCGATCCTCTTGGGGTTTTCTCGATATTTCCCCTTCCTTCGGGATAAATAAAGTTCGATGGCAGCTCTGTGTTTTTTGTCGGTCGCTTCACCCCCTTGGCCATTAGATGAACCTTCTTTCTAAGAGTTTTTGAAAATACTTTTAAAAAATAAAACCCCGCCACGAATAAATATAATATGACAATAAAGATAAAATTAAATAAACCAAAATAAAGAAATAAATACAAATAAATAATAAAAATAAAGAACCCTAAAAAACCCTAAATCCTAAAGAGAGGTTTCTAAACCCTAGGGTTGAGTCTCCATCAGAGTTGCTAGCTATAATAATCGGTTTTAAAATGAGAGTCTCCACCATTAATTTGTATCCTAGAGAATTTAACAGAATAACCCTAATTGATGATATAGAGATTCTAAGTTCTTGAATCACTTTAGACGAAGGGAAGGTGTTAGGCACCCTTCATCCACCTTGTTCACAAGGATACTAGGGTTTAGGTTTAAGGTTTAGGAATAGAGTTTTAATCTTTTAGTTAGGTATTAGAACAGATTATGAAGACATGTTGTCATTGTCATTACAAATTAATTTAGTTTAGAAATTAGAGATTAGATTAGATTACGATTGATTTATAAATGTATTCTTTGATTTATTTTGATTCTGTTTGTAAATTTAGAATTAGGTTCTTTAAATTGATTATGTATTTAGACATATTTGTATGGACGAATTCAATCAATTAATAAAGCAATATGCAATATTTGATTTTTATTCAATTTGATTCAAAACAGATTTTTGGGTCTGGGCTGTTAGGGTTAATTGGTGAAGGAAATGGAACCTTGGGCGCCATTCTAGATTAGGGTTTCAAGCCCTTTGATGGACTCGGTCAACAATAATCAAAATAAATATATTAAAATAATAGTATTAATAATAATAAATGTTTACTAATATTATAAAAATAATATTTAAAAAGAGTTGGTTGACTCGATCAACTTTGACAAACCAGTGGGCTTTCAAACCCTTTAATGGGCTAGCAATTCTCTAAAAAAATGCACAAAAAGCAAGTGGGCCTGCTTGAATTCTTCTAAACATACCTCCTTGTTTTTATTAAAATAAAACATTAATGGACTGAAATCTCAATAATAAATATACCCTCATTCCAAATGTAAGGAAAGCTTAATGGGCCATTAGATTTTGAGGGTCCATTTTTGAAACAATATACCCCCTATAAACTTAAACCTCATACTTGCATATATGAATTTGACAATAATATAAACTTTATAAAGCAAATGATGACCTTAAAAATTACTATATTGGCTAGAAATCAATAGGGCAAATTTTGGGTATGACACATCTTTCTTGACATCTTGTTGTGATACTTGTTTTAACAAAATTGCTGCCAATCCCAAAATCAAAGAACTAACATTCTCCCCCTTTGGAAAATTTCGGATAAAATAACCTTTTCATAATATAGCTGGAGATAAGGAAAAAACAACAGCAAACAACCATAAACACAAGATACATAAGACACGTGCATACTTAGTTTAACATCACAACCAGATCAGAGGCACATGCAGCAAAGCAAACAACAAGCACACGGAGAGAAATAAACTCTCACACTTCAGAAATCCTTCAGAGACCATATGTCATAACATTCTATCTGACATCACAGCAATAGCACCATTGATTAACAACATCATATCACACAAGAGAGAAATAAGTTCTCAATACAACAATGTCATGCTCCCTTGTCACAGAACTCCCCTTGGCACACACAATACATAAAGATCAAATACTCCCCATTCAAGAGAACATCCACATGCATCAAAAAATAAAAACCAAGCACACAGATGCTACACACAAAATATCAGAAGAAAAACCAACCAAAACAGTATCAATCATGCACATGACCAAACTCCACATATCAGAGCAAAAAAAAAAACACCACTACTCCCCTACTACTACTACTACTACTACTACTATTTCTAGTACATATCTTCCTATTTTTATCCATAATTTAGACAACCTCTATAGATATATAATTAGAAGCAAAAACATATTATTCATTTTCTCCATCTGCAATGTACCAAACTTATTGTTCCTCAAAGATGCAGATCCCTAGTTCACCCTTTAGTTTTTCAAAATTTATTTGCATCCAATACATTGGTGAAAATATCAGCCAATTTCTTCTCATTAACCACATGCTCCTGAGTAACAACTTTGCCTCTAACAAGATCCACGATAAAATGATGACGGATATCAATGTGCTTAGTTATGCTACGTTGAATAAGATTTTTGGAAATGTTGATGGCACTTAGGTTGTCACAGAATAATGTCATGACATCTCACTTAACATTATATTCGTTTAACATCTCCTTCATCCCAATCAGCTGAGAATAAATGCTTCCTACTGCAATATACTCAGGCTCAATAGTGGATAGAGACACATAATTCTGCTTCTTGCAGAACCAAGATATGATATTATTCCATAAGAAGAAGCAACCTCCTGAAGTGTTTTCCCTATCATCAACACTTGCATCACAATATCCTAGAAGCATAGAATCAGAACCATTAGAATATAACATGCCATAGTTACTAGTACCATTTATGTACTTCTAAATCGTCTTCACTTGATTGATATGATTTATTTTAGGCTCAAGTTGATATCTTTCACAAACACCCACATCAAAAGTGATGTTAGGTCTGCTAGTTGTAAGGTATAACAAGCTATCAATCATGCTTCTGTACAAACTTTGGTCCATATTAACACCTTTTTCATCTTTAGATAACTTCAAATGAGTAGGTGCATGTGTCCTCTTATGACTAGAATTCTCCATACCAAACTTCTTCACTATGTTCTTGGCATACTTACTTTGAGAGATGAAGATAGAATCATTTATTTGTTTCATTTGAAGTCTAAGAAAATAGATTAATTCACCAACAAGACTCAGCTCAAATTCAGATTGCATTTGCTTTACAAAATGTTGAACCATCTAATTTGGCATCCCTCCAAACACAATGTCATCCACATATATCTGAGGAATCATGACTTTGTCATCCTTCTCCCAAACAAATAAAGTCTTGTATATTCCTCCTTTCTTGTAGCCATTGTTGACAAGAAAATTGGTCAGCCTTTCATACCAAGCCCTATGAGCTTGATTTAATCCATAAAGAGCCTTATTTAATTTGAACACATAATCTAAAAAAGTAGGATCAATGAACCCCTTTGATTGTTCAACATACACCTCTTCATGTAAGTGCCCATTCAGAAATGCCTTTTTCACATCCATCTGAAATAACTTGAACTTTAGTAAACATGACACTCCTAATAATATTATGATGGATTCAAGATGAGAAACTAGAGAAAAAGTTTCATCAAAATCTACACCTTCAGTTTGAGTGTATCCTTGAGCCACTAGTCTAGCCTTATTTCTGGTGACAACTTCGTTTTCATCAGATTTATTTTTGTACACCCATTTTATACAAATGACATTTGTTCCATTAGGCCTAGAAACTAAATCCCATACTTTATTCCTCTTGAATTGACCCATTTCTTCTTGCATGCAATTGATCCAGAATTTATCAGTTAAAGCTTCATTCATTTTCTTGGGTTCGAACTTATAAATAAAGAAAGAGTTTGAAACCACATCCCTTGATCTAATAGTAATCCCTTCATTAACATCTCCTATAATGAGTTCTTTAGGATTTTCTTTTTGAATTCTGATTAAAGGACCTTTGTTGGCTGGATTTTTGTTAGGTTCATATCAACAGTCTCATTATTGATATCAACATCTACCATATTTTCTGAATCATTATTCATCTGGAATGATGTTCCAACATCATCTCCGGCATCATGTCCACCCTTTATGATTGAGTCATCAACTCCAACATTTATAG